TTGATGACTTTACCCTGGGCCTTTGGTGTCAGCAGGAACAGTCTCTCCACTCAAGGCGAATTCATAAGGCTACAGAGTGTTCATGCTTCCACAGTAACATCTTGTTTTCATATTGTAAGTGTGTGGGTATTTATTTCACATGTTTTTACAGGTGTGGGCAAATCTAATATTCTATCCAATTATAATTATGCTGTAGCTCAGGCACATTAGTTATGATCTGTGAATGTGTCCCCAAGTCATGTATGAATCTCATTCATTTACCTCACTGTGCTCAAAGTTGTCTTTGGGAAAAGATTCCATGTCTGAACAGTGTGTGTCAGGCATTCTCCAATCCAAGTTCTTGTTCAGTAGCACTAAACCTGCCTAACTCACTAATTCAACCAGAGACCGGGACACAGAATAAAACTTGTTTGTTTTGTTTTGCTTTTGTTTTTCCATATTAAGAAAAAAATAAAGTGGTTGATTTTCCAAGGTTGAGGCAGGAACCTTCGAGTATGCAAGGCCTCCGGCTAAGGAGAGCAGAGCTTTTCCTGTTTTCACTGGATGCCTGTCACCAAGCTCCCAACCACACCTTTTCCAAATTGATCTGATCCCTTGTCAGCAGTTCAAGCCTCTTCCTTGACAACACCAATCCAAGCGAGAGCTTCAAATCCAGCCATCCTCAGAGTGTTCCAGCTGGCTGCTTTTCAAGCAAGGGCAGGGAGAGAGGCCTGTGCTTTCTAACAAAAGGAATGCTGCCTGAAGGAGTGCGTTACTAGGTGTGGCAAAAAGTTAGTGAACCAGAAAGAAGGGATTTATCAGCCATTTAAAAAGGGGAGGGGGGACCAAGCAACAATCCAGAATGACACCTGAGTCTACTCCCATCAGCCTGAGCCATGGCTTTGGAGTGAAAACTCCTTACAAGAAAATGCAGTAGTCAGATTTCAGGTGCGGGGGGGGGGGGGGGCGGGATGAGCACATAAAAGCTCCAATATTTGGATTTTCCTGAGGTGACTGGTGGTCTCCAGAAGACCTCTCCAACAAGAGTCAGGTGGGCGTCAGTGTTTTTTGTTTTCTGTTTTTTGTTTTGCTGTTTAGAGTACATTCCTTTGAATCTACTGAGGTTTTTGTTGCTATTGTTGTTTTTCTGTCTAAGTTGACTTAGAAAAAACTCTGGATTCTTAGGAAGTCACTAAATTTATTTCTATAATTAAGTTATTTTAAGCTAAGAGTCTTGGTATATAAGTTTGAAGGATTACACATACTAATGCATTTTCTATTTAAGTAAAATTTAGAGATGCAAATAGTCTCAGGAGACTGTCTTCGAAGCTTTTGTGTGAGCCTAGGCACTAACTTTGTGCTCAATACAAATCAATAGAACTAGTGTACTTTGGGGTACTCACCCCCTAGGGAGTCACTAATTCAATTATCTGTAGCCCTTAAAAAAGTCACAATGAGGCTAATGAAATTTTTTTTCTAAGGGAAATCTGGAGAAGGCACTAGATTTATTATCCCATTTCCCACACAAGTTCTAAAAAATACAGTTTTAAAAAACTGTTTAATATCTAAGGTGACTTTATAGCAGGGTTAAATTGTTTGTACTAATAAAGAAGTATATTGTATGTCTGCAATTTCAAAACCTTTCTAAGATGACGTTAAAACATAGTAAGTTGGGGGGGATGTGGTTGTTGTTTCCTTTCTCTCTTTCTTTCTTTCTTTTTTCTTCCTTTCTTTTTAAATATCAGATACAGATGAAAAAACCTAACAGTTTTTGGATTGGAAATAACTTGTGGGGGTTTTCATTAAAATTGGGTGCAGCTTGCTGCATTTTGGTTAGTTGGATGTCTTCAGCAATTTTTCAAATGTTTTGGGTTTGGCAAAGTCCAAAATGCTTTTTGCCAAGACCCTCTTTTCCCCTTATTTTTTAAACCCGTGTGAAATGCAGGGATAACTTAATCCATATGTGTCTGATTCATTTACACTTAACTCATCAAAATGTTATTTTGTGAGGCCCATTTAATATCCAAGAAACCTTTTGAGCCTTTTAAAGACAAATCTTTTGTCTTTGAACCAGGAAGTCACATTTTTCCATATGAATGGAGGTCTGGCCTTGAATGATTGAAGATGAGTTCATTTTTCAACTTACGTGCTTCAGAATTTGAGTAGAATCAAAGCTTTATATTATGTTTATTATCTGCATAAAGGAAAGGTCATCTTAAAATGTAATCAGAGGAAGTACAAAGAATTATGCCAAATCATTTAGAATAATACCGTATATGGAAGTTCACACTGGGAATTAACAAAATAAGAAATCATTCTTCATTTGATTTTTTTTTCATCTCTGAATTAAATGGCTCCATTTTGTGTTTGTGAGAATATTTTCTAAAAGGTGGGTCATCAACATGAGGGAAAGAGTTGTCATTTTAATTTTTAAGATCACATTTTTTTCTTAAAGTGAATACATCATCAATTTTAATAACATCTATGGAGTTAATAAACTATCCTGAGATTAGGGCAGTTGACAATTGGCAGGAGTTTTATGTTCAGAGATTTCTGGGAAATAAAAACAACAACAACAGCGAAAACAGGGGCCCATATGTTTTCCAAATCCTGTATGATTTGAAAGAATGCATTGGAATTATGAAACAGTACTGGGGACCAAAAACATTGAGAATGAAACTTCACAGAGGCTGCATAGAGCCCTTGTGAGAAAGTAAAGTCTCTATGACCCTCAGTGAAAGCTCCCCTCCCCCATGAAAACCTGCAGGGGCTTCTTTCTTTCAAGCCTTCCTAGGAGCAATGAGCAAAGAAAGGCCATTGCCATAACTGCTAGTGAACGTGCAGTCCACACCATGGAAACTAGCTGAAAATGTGATGCTGGAGTGACATTGCCAAGTTCGGCGCTTCTGTAAAGGCCTGCTAGCACACAGAATGCTTTTTCTAAATGTTCTGTATTGCTGGGTCACCCCCATTGAACAACCTTTTTGAGAGGACCCCCAGTTTTACTAATGTAAACATTCTGATGAGTAGCCAAAGAAATGACCTTTGAGTGAACCTCTAACCTTCCCAGTAATTATTTGTTTGAAGACAGTGTGAAGTTCTCCTGCTGAGAACTAAGAACCATGGTGCCTTGCAGCCCTGCAGCCCAGTGAGTGAGTGAGTGAGTGAGTGAGTGAGTGAGTGAGTGAGTGGAAGGGAAAAGCATAAATAAGGTAACAACCCCCGGATGTAAATAACAGAGGAGTAAAAAAGAGGGGGCAGCAATTTGTTTCACCTAAAAGGTTAACCTACAAGAGAAAACAAAAACCAAACAACACCCGGCAACACAACAGGATTGGCCGCTCATGCAAGGATCAACTGCCCCTTTCTACCAGAAACATCAAGACAGACCAAAGGAGCCTGCTCTGGGCATCTCTTGGTCTTTACTGAACCTGTGAGAAGAGCCCTAGAGGGAGAAATAAGAAGAGATCCTTCTAGGTCTCAGATAAATTCTTTTAACTGATGGGAGTGCTGTTTCCGGAAGTCTTTGTGATCTGATCAGCAACATTTCACGGGACAGCTCTCTGTACTCACATTAGCCTGGACTTCCCTTCCCCAAAGCCAAAGGGTAGAACATTTTTGACAACTGAGACATCCTTTCTTAAGTACTAAAGAAGTTCACTATTTTGCAAACAGCATATTGCAAAGGCCTCCTTTAGCTTTCCCCTGGCTATTATTCATCAACCTGACTGTATTCTTCCTAGAGGACTCACAGGAGGTAATGCGTGTTCACTGTCCAACTCCAAGGGACTTAACTGTCAATACTTGAGAATTCTTCAGAGAATGAACTTTCAGGTCCTGCCTGGAGCACCATGTGGATGCATTAATCATTAAGTCCCCCATATGCTTAGGATTTGAGAGTAGAGATGTTGAAAAACAAATGTTATCAATAGAAAACATTTTGAAGGACCAGCTAGCTGTATGCTCCCTACCACCCACCCCTCCCTAGCCTAATGCAAGGCCAATGAATCTTTCCCAGAAGCTCATACATGTGGGGGAATACCGTCATTAAAAGCACGGGGACAAGGGTAACTCGCAAATGGTAGAAAATTGTTTTGTTTTTATTAAATTTGGAGAAATAAAGGAGATTTCTTATTGTCTTACTCTGTTTGTACATGAATATTTGATGGGCATTATTAAACATTAAAGTAACATGAAGTAGGCACTTATTTTTGGATTTTCAACAAAATTAGATCCAGGCTTCTTAGACAAAATAACCGCTGCTCCTTGCATTCCTGGGAATCAGCAACCGCCTGATTTGAAAACGTTTCCCGGGCCCTAATATCAACCATGTGGACCTGAGGCTGCCTTTCGAGTGGGTTGAAAGGTGGCTGAGTTTATGGTTGGCAGTTAGCTTATCCACTGCCCTGGGTGTTCCTTGCTTTGGCTGCAAAGGCTGCCCCCAGCTGGCACTGACCTCTGAGTGACCCCTAACTTTACAGGCTTAAGCTGCAGGAGTTGCCCCAAGACCAGAAGTCTTTGGGCCAGCACTTATTACTGCTGTGTTGGTGATAAAACTTCAGACAGCCTAATTGATGGCTTTGCTGACCTAACAATACCTTGTGAAAGCCGAGTGCCAGAGCCTGGGCTTCATTTACAGCCAGCTGCAAGGGAAGCTGAAATCTCCCTGGGATGGGACTGGGAGTCCAGGGACAGGGGCAAAATCTTCCAGCCCCGTGAGCTGCAACCTGGTTCCTTCTTGTTCCAAAAGCAAGCACACAAGCAGAAAGGAGATGCTTTCTCCTGGAGAAGTCTTGTCCCTCTCTGAAAATTAGTAGCAAGTTGGCTTTGGCTCCCAGATGACAAGGGAGAGACCATCCAGTCAGCTGTTTCTGCATACTGATGGACAAAGTTGCCTGTCAACTAAGTTGGTAGTTTGCAGTAGATATTGGACTCCAATGTGTCCTTCCCAGTGCTCCCAAAAGCTGTTCATCCAACATTCAGAATGAGCTTGGTAACCCGACTTCTTTCTTCTGTTTCAGGTTCATCAATGCCAGAAGAAGAATAGTACAGCCCATGATTGACCAGTCAAATCGAGCAGGCAAGTTCTAATATGTATCTGTATCCACATCCCATGGGCACTGTTCCTCCTTGAGTTCTCCTTCAAGACTCTGTCTCATCACCTGGGAAATAAATACTTCCATCAGGCATTCTGGGAGAATTTTTTTTCAGTGTCCCCAGAATTCCGCTCAAGGAAGCAACTTCGCTAATTGGTGCTAATTGGAGATTTCCCACCCTGACTCTACTGGAACTGCTTTTGCTTTTCTTTCTGAATTGGTAATTGGGCACTAGTATTCGTGCCACAAGCAGTTTGTTTGACTGTGAACTCTGGAATTACTCCTTGCCTGTCTGCATCCAGTCATTAGCACACTCTCATTTTCTTGTTACCCACAACTCCTTGGTGTGTGCTTTGCTCTCCCCACCGGAACATACACGGTTAAACTCATTGTATCCATCCATTTGCTTTGACTATTCATAATATTCTATTAAAGCCTGACATGCGTTGCCGGCATTATTTTTTATTAAAAGATTATTACCTTTGTTTAAAATGCATCACATCCATCCCACTGAAATACATGTGGGGTTTTCTCACAATGTCTCTCTATTTCTCTAAAACAAGTATTATACAGAGCTGTCAGGACCTTCACTGTGTACTCCTAAGCATTTTGCTCAGAAATAGGCATGCCCTTAGTTTGCTGAAGAGGTGTGGTCTCCCTAAAAAGGTTTATAGAAAAAAAATCAGT